CTAACCAAACTTGTAGAGCTAGTTGCTGCTTCTTTTTTTTAACCCTAGAGCTCTACATTTTGCTTATAGCAATTCAATTTTATCATCTTAGATACAATCTAGCTTGTTTGAATCCTTGAAGATCCTTTTTCTGACTTCGACTTTATCCTCTCTACCTGATTTCATCCACACACCTTTAACATTCCCAGTGAAGTATTTCTAACCAAGCTAAGCCATAGAGAGTCTAAAGCAGAGTGCTGTGGTGAAACTTGCAGTGAACAAACATAATCTCTACCTTCAGGGACTTCATGGACCAATTCCAATAGAGATCTCCTTCAGCACATTTGACATCAACCCATAAATCAGTACCTTTGGATGCAGCAGCTTAATCAATTAAAACTACAACCATCTATACCATTCAGACCACACATTTTCATCTTATTCAAAAGGATTTCAAGAGAGTCATGTCACATGCATTGCTGAAATTCTCAGACTGTCTGACAACATTCCTTTAGCCCACCAGGTGAGAGACCCTAACTGTGAAAGGCGAGATGAGGGGGTAGACTCATTAAAGCTCTGTTGTTTATGTATTATATTGATCAATATAAAATGCTGTGATCATGGACATCTAAAGACTGGTCAAAACCAACAAATAAAAATTTGTTTACTTGTAACCCAATCTCAAATAAAATCTCAGCCTCTCCTAACAATATCTACTATGGGTTGGATTTTGTGCCCCGCGAAGGTATGTTCAAATCCTAATCCCCAGTCCCTAGGAATGTGATCTTGTCTGTAAATAAGGTCTTTGTAGATGTTACGGAGTTAAAATAAGGCTAATGTGAGGTTATATTGGTAGACTCTAATCCAATAATTTGTGTCTTTACAAGAAGGAAATCTGGACAGACAGACTGATAGAAAGGAATGAAGGTCACATGAAGATGGAGATGGATATTGGAGTGATGCTGCTACAGGCCAAAGAATGCCAAGATTGCCAGGAACCATCAGGAATTCGGAAAAGGCAAGAAAGGGTTCTTCTCTATAGCCTCTAGCGGGAGCATAGCTCTGTCCAGAACTAGAGTTTGGACTTTCGTTTTTCATATTTGTGAGACAATCAATTTCTGTTGTTTTAAGTCTTTTGGTCTGTGAACTTCATTTTGGCGGCCCTAGAACACTAATACAATACTTGAGCAAAAATACCATGCTGAAAGTAATGCCTATTAACATCACAATCAAGAGCACTTACGAACTGGTTGACAAAAGAGAGAGAGAGGGAGAGAGAGGTCTTAGAAAGTAAGAAGACGAGGCAAGAGAAATGTCTATTCTTGAGCAGGTAGCAGGCCTGCAGGGTAAACTGCTAGAGGGCAGTGAGGTGAGTGGGTGAGGAAACCGGTCAAGCAAATTTGAGAACATTGGCTTTGAGGTTGGGGGAGATGGTGGTGGACAGAAGATGACATCCAGTGTCAGGCTTATCATCAGAGTTAACTGTCTCTTCCAGGGTAAGGTGGACGTTGTTCAACAAAATTATGTCACTTTTTGATGGCGACAAATGACAAATTCCTCAGTTTGTCATCCACATATAAGCAAAACCATGCTGAGCTTCCTGTCTCCAATTTGGCATTTTCCTTGACTATGTTTCATCAGTCTAAATTAGACAGCAAGCCATGCAAAGGAAGGATCAGCCCCTCCGTCTGTCTCTATATATAGTGCTCTATCCACCATTTCAAAGGTGCTAAAACTCCACTGATTGATGACGGATATGGCTAAAATGGATACATTTTGAACTAGAATGAGCAAGGTGTTTTTTCTGCATGTGAAAACTTAGGGGAGGAAGGAAGCTCCCTCGCAGTTTCTAATACTGATCTGACTCCAATGTACGTCTGTAATGGCAAAACTCCCTGAAAGGACCTTAAAGACGTCCCTGGGAGCTTCCCAGCAGTAATTAGGGGGATGTATTATTGCTAATCTTGAACACCCTAGGAGCTGGGTTAATTTGGAAAGATAAAATGAAAGTGCTGCCTTGTGGCAAAAGGCCACTTCTTGGTAGCATTAAATCAAGCACAGCCTGCACAAGGAGAGAGTATTAATTTTGAAGATGTCTACACCCCCCGCTGACACTTCTTTCAGGAAGGTACTATGGAACAGGCCAAATGCAGCATCAGTGTGCAAATACCATTTAGCAAGTACAGATAAGCTGGGCTAAATCATCCTTAGAGTACTTAAAAAAAGATTCAAATTTTAATACATTAGCACCAGAACATGCTGTACAAGCAACAAGAAAATTGCAGTTGTCAACGTGTGAATTTAGTCTCAGGGTAAGTTCATCCAAGGAAGTAAAATCTCGATTTAGATTATTTTTCTGCCCCAGCCTCCCCACTCCTCAATATCCACGTGTATCTTTTAGAATCAGCCAATGTATTTCCCACCAAGAAATAGTTAAGGTATGTTCACCAGTGGGAAGGATGTGAATTTCTTACCAAACTAGTTCGAAGTAGTCTTTCACCGGGCCAAACCACAAAAGATGAGCAAGGTGTGTGTGGGTGGGTGCATGCGCACATGCACGTGCATGCCTGGGTGCATGTGCAATCACTTGCACATGTCTGTATCTCTGTATGCATTCTCTTTAATGAGTAAGGATTCTAAGGAAAAATTGCAAAAGATTTTCTTTCTTTTACTAAAAAAGCAAAGTTTATTTATTCCTTGTTTACTTATTTCTTCCATAGGAGACTGAGATAGACAGAGAGAGATAGAGAGACAGCACCCCTACATTGGCCTTGATGTCACAGTCTACCCCTGACCTTAGCCAGTCCTGGATAGGGGGAACATGTGCGCCTGGTGCACTTAGACTTGAACAAGGAATCTTCCCAAGTGGAATTATCCTACAAGTATCACATTTCACTGCTGCACTGCTGACTGGCCCCTCTGGCATTTTTCTGTTGTACTTTTCTGAAAGTCTACCTGCACATGAGGAAGACAAGACTGCCTCACTGGCAGGGGAAAACCCAGCTGTGTGGACTCAGCAAGCCAGGCCAGTAAGAGAAATGGCCCCAAGCACACTGTGGATAAAGACAGGAGAGGGGCTGGATAGAGACCTCAGGGCTTGGGAACTTGCCCCCAGCTCTGCTTATTGAAATGGAGCCCTATTCTAGTCTGAGTCTGATAGGCTGTTCTCTACATCAAAGCAACAAATAGAACTTTCATTTCAGAATGCTTCTAGTCTCTAAGACCATTCTATCAGCAGCAGCTATTTTCTTTAAATCGAAAGTCAAGGCAGTTGACTTGTCTCAAAACTGTGCTGCAAACCCTTCTGCCTAATGCTTAACCTTCACTTGCTTTACAATGGCAAAGCTATCCTATCCTTAAAAAGAAGTGGGATGGAAGAGACTCTCTCTGAGGATACCATATGGGAGATATATTTACATAAACTTTTGTCTCAAAGGGCATGTCTGTCAGCTATAAAGAGGGAAGGCATTATATTTATTAAAAAAAACTTATTTAGAGGAAAAAAAGAGTTACCAAATCATTCTTCCAGTCAGGATACCTCAATGAAGATAAATCTCTTCGATTGACACATCTTTCATACTTTTTTGTACATTTTAAGTTTTCATGATAAGGGAGAATTTTTTTATTCATAACTCTCCCTTCATACCCTAAGTCATTTTAAATATAAAATAACTGTAGTGTGGCTCAATGCATAAAACTGGTTATATATACTGTACAGACACATGTATAGAACTAAATGTGAATATTCATCTACATTCTTAGGGTGAGATTATACTATTTATCTGTTATTGTTAGTTTAATTATTGCCCATCTATTCTGTCAAAACCTCATTCATTCTTTTTTTTCATCATCCAAACCAAAAAAAATATATATATATATATTTTTTTTTGAGAAGTTTTTGCTATACGGTGTGTGCGCTCGCCAGATAGACAGAGAGAGACAGAGAGACAGAAAGCAAGAAATCACCCCCCGGGGGGATGGCCACACCGCAATCCCTTCTCCTCCATTCTCCTCTCGGGATCTTGGACATGCACGCACGTGCACCCGGAGTGAGTTTTAAGCCACCGGGTCCGGGATGTGAACCGCCGTCGACTACATGGGAGTCCAGCGACATAGCCATTACGCTAACTGTTGGTCCCTCAAAAGAAATATTTCAAAAAGCATTTCTAACTAGACAGAATTTGAACTGTCAATAAATATTTAATATTTCTCTAACTAAATTAGAACTGGTTTGTTACCATAATCTTAACCTGTGATACTGTTACAATTCTGAGATGATTTCTGGTATAAAAAAATCATTCTTGAGTATACTAATTTTTGTGATTTAATCATTACACATTGTATTCATGTATGGAAAAATTATATAGTACCTAATAAATATGTACATGTGTTAATAAAGTAAATAAAAGAATAAAAATAAGTAAAAAAAAATTCTTAGAAGTCATATACCTTCATATTCATTTCCTAAAACATAACTTTTCCTCTTTATCAACTGGCCCCTATTTATAAATCACAGAGAATCAAATTTAGTTTTTTAATGGAAGGAAGCTACCTTTTTTCCTTTTTGATACTTCACAGATGCTAATGACATAAAGGGGAAGTGAGACCAAACCACTTTCCCAATTAGGTATTTAAAAAGGACACAAAAGCTGAGCCTAGAAACATAGTGAGTACTTTTATGATTACAAATCCCTCCACTATACATTTAAAATATATATATAATTGAAAATGTAGCAATCCACACCATGGTTTTCTATAAAGCAACAACTTAGTTATTAAGTGGTTATAAATTAGCCATTCATAATCTATCCATTTAAACGATCTAACTTTTCCAATTATCATTTCATCTGTTTTCTATATTTAAAAAAAATCAAAGAAATTCAAGATACAGAAAAGACGTGTTGGTTGAAGGTCTGAAACTGATTTGGTAGCTTTGGAGTTGACATAATCTTGGCCCAGTGCAACTCATTTTGGAAAGCTGCCTCAAATTTCCCCTGGTTTTGAACTTTTTTTTTTCTTACCACTTTCATCTAGCAAGAAATCATCCTGGTAACGGAACTTCTCCGGTCCACATGCAATAAAAATGTCATCGTCACCAAAAAAGTCCTGAAGGCACATCACCTACAAGAGAAAAGCATAGCACTCAGCAAGGGGTGGGCAAAACAGCAATTACAACAATGCATCCCTGCAAGCAGACATCTGCATAAAGCCACTTCCCGTCTAATGCAATCAACGGGCAGCTTCTTCCAAGGAATTTCAAAAGAGGGCCTCGGCATCTGTTACTAGTAAGAAACATGTTACGTTTCAGTTCTGCAGGAAGACGGGATAAGGGAAAGGGAACCGGTAACTGTCACATTTATTAGTTGATATATCAATAGGCTATGAGGTAAGAGCCCTTTGTTTCTATAATAGAGTGGATGCGGGCCCATGGGGCCAAGGAGCTCCCCTTCGCTCTCCTGAATGTAATAACTCCTTGAGAGTAACCACAGTCAACATATGGTCTTAGCAACAACTGGGGTTTTCAGTAATTGATGCCATTGTATACACATGATAATCACTGGAAAAATAGTTGTATCATAATAGGAACATAATAATCACTTTTAGACCCATTCTACTGATATTTCTAGATAAGGAAAAATGAAACCCTTTACAAATACAGTAATAAAAAATAAATAAATGATTGCTGAGGTGTCTATGGTAATTGCCTGTCCACAACCCAAGCTAACCTTGGGCTAAACTCTGAAGCTTCCATGCCACCTAATGTCTTATCATATATAAGTTTTAAAGCAATCTTTCCACATTTATTCAACTTACTGTCCAATGAAAAATTTAAGAGAGCTAAATGTCATTTTGTAAGTAAGTAGGGTCCAAAAGAAACATTTTCAAGCATATTGCCCTGTTCACAGAATATTATGTAATATAATGCCAACATCAGGTACACTGCTGATTTCTAGCTATTTTCAATTTTCTTTGATGTCTTGGGCAAATCATGTGCCATTTGAAGGCATCATTCAGAGCATTTCCCCTAGATATTTGAAAACCAGAGACAAATCTTTCCAGAGTACTTTAACCTGTGTTTACTATTAACTCCTCCATTATTTGTCCATAGTTCCACCTGTGGGCAGCTCTCAAGTCTGCCTTTTTCTTTTTTGAGAGATTTTTGCTATAAGGTGTGTGTACTTGCCGGAGAGACAAACAGAGATACAGAGAGACAGGAAACAAGAAATCACCCCCCAGAGGGGATGGCCACATTACAACCCCTTCTCCTCCATTCTTCTCTCAGGATTTTATGCCTCTGGGTCCAGGCCTTGAGCCACAGTCAACTACGTGGGAGTCCAGAGACATAACCATTACGCCATCTGCTGGTCCCAAGTTTGCCTTTTTCAATCCGTGGGAGTCCCATCCTCACACGTGACAGGCTCTGTAAGACTTATAGGTGGGAGAACACAATATTATTTAGAATATCTCAAATGCAATGATGTGCGGGCTTCAGGTGGTCTTTCTAAACAATCTCTCATTTCCTAATATCTACTGGGCTGAAGTTTTCAAAAGGAAATTTCAATAACATTTTGATAATCACCATTAAGTGTGAATGAGGTATATTCATGGTTGGTGGTGTTTATCTTGCTTGTGAAAGCTTGAAAATACAGATGGTGCAAATGTAATTAGTGCGGAAGATGAACCAAAGGGCTCCAGGAGTGCTGTCAAAAGCTCTGATTGGGACCAGCAGTTGGCGTAATGGCTATGTCGCTGGACTCCCATGTAGTCGACTACAGTTTGAGTCCCAGACCCAGTGGCCGAGCGTGAGTGCATGCGTGCCCAAGATCCGGAGAGGACAATGGAGGAGAAGGTGATTGCGGCGTGGCCATTCGCCCTGGGGGGTGATTTCCTCCTTTCTGTCTCTCTGTATCTCTTTGTCTGGCAAGCATATGCGCCCTGTAGCAAAAAAACTCTCAAAACAAAACCCTGATCAACTTGGTTGAAAAACAGGACCTTTGAATTCAGAATCTACCCTCTGTTCACTCCTCTCTCTCAGCCTCCAGCCCTGAGTCTGCTCATCTTGACCTTTCTGACATTCTCTGTCAGAACTGGCCTCATTCCAACCAACCCCATACAGTAATTTTCATTGTCCATCCATCAGTCTTTATGGAATCCCTACTATTTGCTAGTTAGCATATAGACTAGACTTACAACGCTGAATAAGACATGCACTCTTCTTCAGGCAAAAATTGTAAACAATTAACCCCAAAGAGAAGTATTTTCTTTTTCTTTTTTTTTCTTTTAATTTGTCAGAGGGTGCATGTACTTGCCAGAGAGAAGGAGAGGAAAAAGCACCTCCCATTGGGAATGGTCACACTACAACCCCTTCTTCTTCATTTCTCTTTTTGGAATTTCTGGGCACACATATACACGTGCTCGGCGTGTTTTTCAAGCCTCCAGGTTTGAGATTCTAACTGCAGCCAGCCAATGTGGGATTCAGCCACCTTAACCACCATGCAAATCAGCATGCACAAGAAGTATTTTCTTTCTTCTTTTTTTAAAAAATTTGCCATAAGATGTGTGAGCGGGCTTCAGGTGGTCTTTCTAAACAATCTCTCATTTCCTAATATCTACTGGGCTGAAGTTTTCAAAAGGAAATTTCAATAACATTTTGATAATCACCATTAAGTGTGAATGAGGTATATTCATGGTTGGTGGTGTTTATCTTGCTTGTGAAAGCTTGAAAATACAGATGGTGCAAATGTAATTAGTGCGGAAGATGAACCAAAGGGCTCCAGGAGTGCTGTCAAAAGCTCTGATTGGGACCAGCAGTTGGCGTAATGGCTATGTCGCTGGACTCCCATGTAGTCGACTACAGTTTGAGTCCCGGACCCAGTGGCCGAGCGTGAGTGCATGCGTGCCCAAGATCCGGAGAGGACAATGGAGGAGAAGGTGATTGCGGCGTGGCCATTCGCCCTGGGGGGTGATTTCCTCCTTTCTGTCTCTCTGTATCTCTTTGTCTGGCAAGCATATGCGCCCTGTAGCAAAAAAACTCTCAAAACAAAACAAAACCCTGATCAACTTGGTTGAAAAACAGGACCTTTGAATTCAGAATCTACCCTCTGTTCACTCCTCTCTCTCAGCCTCCAGCCCTGAGTCTGCTCATCTTGACCTTTCTGACATTCTCTGTCAGAACTGGCCTCATTCCAACCAACCCCATACAGTAATTTTCATTGTCCATCCATCAGTCTTTATGGAATCCCTACTATTTGCTAGTTAGCATATAGACTAGACTTACAACGCTGAATAAGACATGCACTCTTCTTCAGGCAAAAATTGTAAACAATTAACCCCAAAGAGAAGTATTTTCTTTTTCTTTTTTTTTCTTTTAATTTGTCAGAGGGTGCATGTACTTGCCAGAGAGAAGGAGAGGAAAAAGCACCTCCCATTGGGAATGGTCACACTACAACCCCTTCTTCTTCATTTCTCTTTTTGGAATTTCTGGGCACACATATACACGTGCTCGGCGTGTTTTTCAAGCCTCCAGGTTTGAGATTCTAACTGCAGCCAGCCAATGTGGGATTCAGCCACCTTAACCACCATGCAAATCAGCATGCACAAGAAGTATTTTCTTTCTTCTTTTTTTAAAAAATTTGCCATAAGATGTGTGAAAAAAAAAGCACTCCTATGGGACGTGGTCAAGCCACAAGCCCTTGTTCTTTTGTCCCTCCTTCTGGTTTTATTGGGGGAATTACATACACAGACACCCAGTGTATTTTTTAAGCTTCTGGATCCAGGCCTGGAACAGTGGTTTTTGGCCATGTGAGATCCAACTGCTTTAACCACCACTCTTCCTGCTGGCCCAGTAAGTATTTTCTAAAGCATGGATGGTTAGTAGACTTTGTACAAAAGAAGATTCTAAACCCAAATAGATATGGAAAATATTGAGTTTATCTAATGTAAACAGATTCCTTTGTCTCCAAACTTCCCCAAACCATACATGTACATCACAACTCCAAAGAAGAGAGAAAAATCCAGTGTCTCCCGAATGTATTTGATTCCAGAACTCTCCTCTTACACATCATCATACAGATTAGTTTTCTACAGAGTTCTCTTGGAAACTAGACTGACAGGTGTAGGCCACAAGAACTCTGGAAACCCACAAAGGAAAGAACAGTTTCCAGTCTTTTCCTAGACACCCATGATTCTCCAGCAATAAATATTTATTTGCTAATCTACTTACTCACTCAAATGGTCATGATGGCCTACTCTGTTCCAGGCTCTAGATCTAAGATTATGAAAACAATTTTCTGACAGATAAAAAATGCTATTTCCTAATGATAATTGTTCTTCTTTCTCCGTACTCCCACCATTTGCATTCTGGAACACCAGCTTGCTGATCGAATCACATTCACATGTGTGTGCTTGCTTTACGCGACTGCTAAGTGGACAAATAGCTATCATCAAAACTACAAGATGCTATAAACAAGATGCCAGCCAGCTCTCTTTCCTCATTTTATTGATGAACTTTCTCCAAGCCTGAGACTTAAAGAACAGAATAGATAACAACCATCTTAGACAGTTTAGGTATAATTCTGCTGGCAAGTGGGAAATTAGTATGATGACTTTGGATGTTCTTTCCAACACCAGAATTCCAACAAAGTGATTACTAAGGAAAAGTAACTGTCACCACCAGCACGAAAAGACAGGGGAAACGGATTTCAGTGTCGAGTGGCATGGATTCATTTACCTCTCAATCTTTGGTGACTGAAATCAAAGAATTTGTTGATTATCAAAAACTCTCATGTTTTCTGTGTTTTCAGCTCTGCCTCACTTCACCACTTTCCAGTTCACAACCTCTCACTGGACAAAGTGAGTAAGGTCAGCAGACCAGGGGCCAGTCCCACCATGCAGTGGCTAAGGTCAGCAGGTCAAATTCAAATGCATATGACTGCCCCTTGTTAGAAGCCTTGGTAAGAGTTGATGGCAAAGAAAGCTGAGACACAAGGTTACAATAAAGATGGATTTGGGGTAATCTGTGCACTGCAATTATCCATGCTTTCATTCTATCGTTGATCTGGAGTAGCTGTAATAGACTCCATCTAACAAGAAAGAGTAACAGGAAAGATTTACAACCCTTT